CTTGAGGGTGAACGAGGACCCATCTCGGTCACCCTGAGAGTCAGCGCCGGACCTCTCTGAACTCCCCTCACGAGCCCGACTCTTTTTCATCCTCTGAGCCTCGGACTCGCGATCGGCCCCACCCTCACTGCGGGTCGGTACCGAGCCGCGACCGCTAGTCCGGCCGCCTGTCAATCCACCCCAGCCACCCGCAGCGCGGCCGACTGGAACGGAGGGGCCGGATTCCACGATCCCTGGGGGGGTTGGTGCCGAAGTGGCAGGAGTTCGAGGAATCACGCCGGCCCCGCCGACGGAGGTCGAGCCCGTCGCTTTCTTGGCCGGCTTCATGAGAAAGGACATCCTGCTGGCCATATTTTTCCTTTCTTTTAGCGGGTTCGGGTTGGCGTAAACGTGCTTGTTGGCTTCTTTCACTGAACGGAGACCACACTCTCGGTGCAGAGGATAATAGACTGTCAAACATCACAGGGTTGAGTGTCGGACTTAATAGGCTAAACAATAATCCAGTATGGAGTAGAAATTACCTGGGGTGGAACAGCCGGTCTTGAAGTTAGAGCAAAGGCCGTAAGTGATCAAGCTCTCCTCTGACACCAAGTCGCGATAGAAACGCTTGTCCTCGTCAAGTGCCAACAAGGTGTCGATCTTCTCCGCTAGGTCGTTGCTGACGTCGAAATGGGGATTGTGGACTGAAATGGAAATACCGACCTGTTAGCACAGGAGAAAAACACGTAATTAGAAAATGGCAGGGAATAACATGATACTCACACTTGTCGGATACAAAACCGGTGTACGGATGTCGGGCTGCATCCGGCGTTTGCCACGCGCCGGAAACCCAGAACCAGTCCGGCATGTAGTCGTGCAGCGATTCTGGGATTTTGTTCACCAAGGACTTGTCCACCCCGGGAGCGACGGAGCTGTAGTAGTTGCCGGTGTTACCGGACTTCTTGAAAATCAAGAGAGACCGAATATCCACGCTCGTAGGGTCGGCCCAACCCTGCTTACGGAATAAGACGATCAAACCCACCAACCGCGCGAAGGCCGTGGGTACTAGTTGGCTGATTCCGATGCCGAGGTCGCTCAGGATGTCATTCAAGGCGCCGGGCAAAGGAAATTAGAGCCCGAGCGAGACGCTATGACAGTAGACTCCGATGTAGCCCGGCGGAGGACAATGAATGCATTCGCCGGCGTACGGGGCAAAGATCTGAACGCCGGGGCCAAAACTCACCTTGCTCCTTAACTGAACCATGTCAACGTCTCCTAGCATGGACGGTGTGTTCCAGGCCGACATCTTCGTGGGAGTTGGCCACGCGCGAGGAGGGCGACGCCAGCTCTCGGGTGTTGCAGAGGTTGCGGCCTCAACGGCGGCGTCAGTCTCGGCATCGCCTTGTCTCATAGGGACCCGCTCCCGTCCACCGGTCTCGCCCTGGAGGGTCTCCTCGACCAGGCCGGGGTCAACGTTCGAATCACTGTCAAGAGGCCCGCCGTCCGGAATAGCCTTATCTCCTTCGCCGTCGGACTTGCTGGAGCCGAGGTCGACGATATCGACCACTGGGAACTGCGAGGACCCCTCCTTTTGCAGATCAGCCGCCGCCGTCGACGGTCTGGTCACCCGAACGGCCGAGATCGGCGTAACCCTAAGGGGTTGCGTCACCTCCGCCGCCGGTGGAGAGTACACCACAATCTCGCCGGTCTCCTCTGCCGGCTGTCTCTCGCCCTCGCCGGAAAGGTTTGCCGCGAAATTCGAAGAACTCGACATATCGAAAAGAAAATAGAAAGAAAAGGAATGAGGAAATTACCGAGAAGAAAGCTCCGAAAAGTTCTCGAAACTTCCCTTGCTGAATTGCTCTGAAGACTGCCGAAGTTCGCTTGAAATTGCAGAAGGTAAAAGCCTCTCCAGGAAGACGACGACCCTTATATATATATAATGTTTGGTCCAATCGGGGAAGGCCGCGTGGCGCCATTTGAAATTCGAAATTAAATAATTAACTGTTCAAATTAAACGGCCACTATTGAAGCTATCCGACGGTTCACGAACGGGCGCGTGGGTGTCACGCGGCCGAGTAAACGCCCTTCCCACTGAAGCGACACAACACGCCACGCGGGCCAATAGGATTGGGACACGTGTAAAGGTCTCTGGAATGGCACGACTTTTCAGGGCCGACAAGAATGACAACGGCCATATCGCATTGATGAATGCGTCGCTTCAGCTCGCATCATCAATGTGCCAGGAGCAGGGAAAACGTGACTCAAGGAAATCGTAGACGCCGGGATGAAATCTGGCAAACTCGGGACTAAGAACTAGAGAAGCGACCTCGGACAAGATGCTGGGAGACCTCCTCTCCGAACTCGGGGGCCTGTATGTTGATAACCGAGTTAGCCCAGAATGAACCGGAAACTTGACCCCTCAGGAACCGGGCTGAAGACCCGGTCTGATGCCGGGGTGCCGAGCTGAACCGAAGATTAAAAGTATACAGAACCGCCGTGGGAACGTTTCCGGACCTGGCTCAGTCCGTACAGTAGCCGACCTGAGAGAGTGCCGGGTAGGAAGTAGGCTACTAGTCGTCTCGTGAACACGTTCGACTAAAGTGCCGACCTGAAGATCCTGGGTGGCCGACCTGAGGGAAAGGGCGGGACTCGATGAACATTAAAATATTCCCATTTGGAAGGCCAACATTGGATGATGGGACAGGTTATCATAGCCTAGTATTCTATCCGCAGGCCTAGTCAATAAAGCCTACCAGCATTAAATGTCCCCCATGCTGGCATTTAATGCCTGACAGGTAATGATTGAAGAAACCTCAAATCGCATTAAATGTGTCAGAGAGACGCCGAACTGCTCTGCAAGACCACTGTGCGACAAGACCGGTGAACAGTAGCTGAACAGTACCACATTAAAGACTACTATAAATAGCAGCTCACTTCATTTATTTTGGGTTGTTGAATCTCAACTAACTCTGGTATCTCTCTACTTTCTCTCTCTAAGCTGTAAGAAACTCCTTGTAAGAACTGTAAGTATATCACAAATGCCGACCTCGTACGAGAGGCCGGTTTCGTGATCGCATAATAAAACCGTAATTAAACCAAATTTCCCTTCCGTTTCCAGTCTTTTGCTTTCAACATTTATCATTTTAACCGTTGACCGAAAATGCTCGTCAACACATTACTTGCTTCATTCATGGAAGATATTTGACTTACTTATGGGAATAATTCGGTATATTTGCGAACACATCATTTGATCTATTCGTGATCAATTGGATTTACTCGCATGACGGTTTGATTGATTTGCGAGCATATTATGTGATTATGCATAAAACTTACTTGAATTATCCTTGGGAGTTGTTTGAATTATTCATGGAGATTATTTGACTCGCTCGTGGAATTAGTTGATTCGTGTGGTGAAGTATTTGATTTGTTCGTGGATATTATCTGATTTATGCATGAGATTATTCGATTTGCTCGTGAGATATGATCGGATTTATTCTTGAAAATTTTTAACTGGCTTGTTGAGATAATACTGATATATTCACGGAGATGTTACTCGATCTATTCGAGCAAATATTTGCATATGTTCATGGAAATATTATCTGATTTACTCGAGCAAGTATTTGATCTATTCGTGGAGTCAATCGATTTATTCATGGAAAAATTGTTTATTTGAGGATGAATGTGGGTCATAACTTTGAACTATGAATATTTTGCGATCGTGCTTGACGTGCGTTGGCCATGTTTATCACTCTCGCACCGGTGGGCTTGAGGACATGAATTAAATTTATATATGAATGGTTATTTTAATATATTTGGAGTCTCTCATTCGGATTTTCATGAGCGCATGTGGAATTTTGCCTAATTTATATTGCATATAATTTGTTGAGCGTGTCATTACTAGAACATGCCTTGAATCGAGAAGATAGTGATGTTCGTATTTGATCTCTTATTTTTCTCGTGTGAGAAATGATAAAATGGATGACGTGAATAAATGTTGATAACGACATCTCTTTGAATTCTTGTCGAGGAACCCACGGGATGATGCAAGTCTTGACAAATTATTGAGACAAATGTTCGAATGTCGAGGACATAATGAGCGAGCACGAATCTATCAATGTGAGATGACAATGGAGGTTAAGTTTTGATGGTGCTGATCACCGATGGCAATCTCGGAGACAGAAATCAAGTTTCTTTTGGTAAGGTTGGATAATTTCCAGTGGTATTCTCGACTTTAAGGTACACCATTAATCTCAACTCTCGACATCTGTTTTGGTCGACATGATTTATCAACGCATTGAATTTCTTAGCACTCTTTCTTGGAGAAATGCGCATTATTCGAATATATAGTGGAGAAATGTTGTAGGGATCATGACTTACATGGAAATGTTTCGAATCATTGTGTGGATAATTTACAAAATGCTGAAAAAGAGGCATATGCAAAACCTTGAACAAAAATCTGGCATGACGAAGGCCTTCGGGCTGGTCAGTCTCGAGTCTCCACGACTAAGGAACTTGATAGTAGGATGAACTCATTGGAATTTTCATTTGCTACATTCGTTTGATGATTGTAGGTTTATGCGAAGTATGCTTTGTCGAATTATTTATTAAACTCTTGGTTTTGTAAAATTCTGGTCTATCGTACATTCGAGTGAATATTTATTTCCTTTATTATCGGGATAAAGAGCTTAATTATGGATTATGCTGTGATATAGTAACACGTGGATATGTTTGATCGTTATGATTCATTTATTGCCATTATTGCTATTGGAATCGTAAATTAAATGATATGAATAGACTACGAGTCATGAACTTTTCTTGATATTTGCTGAGGAAAACACATGAACAGATGTACTGATATTTAGATACAACAAGGAATGCTTTTTTGAAATAAGGAATGGATAGCAACGAGTGAAATCTCGAATAGGCTACGAAGCCTATGACTACGAAGTCGATAAACAACTACGAAGTTGTATCTCGAGTGGAATCTCGACTAAGATACGAAGCTTACGACTACAAAGTCGATTCAAATAACTACGAAGTTGTAACTCGAGTGGATTCTCGACTAGGCTACGAAGCCTACGACTACGAAGTCGATTTAAACAACTATGAAATTGTATCTCGAGTGGAATCTCGACTAAGCTACGAAGCTTACGACTACGAAGTCGATTCAAACAACTACGAAGTTGTAACTCGAGTGGATTCTCGACAAGGCTACGAAGCCTACGACTACGAAGTCGATTTAAACAACTACGAAGTTGTATATCGAGTGGATTCTCGACAAGGCTACGAAGCTTACGACTACGAAGTCGATTTAAACAACTACGAAGTTATATCTCGAGTGGAATCTTGACTAAGCTACGAAGCTTACGACTACGAAGTCGATTCAAACAACTACGAAATTGTAACTCGAGTGGATTCTCGACAAGGCTACGAAGCCTACGACTACGAAGTCGATTTAAACAACTATGAAGTTGTATATCGAGTGGATTCTCGACAAGGCTACGAAGCCTATGACTACGAAGTCGATTTAAACAACTATGAAGTTGTATCTCGAGTGGAATTTCGACTAAGCTACGAAGCTTACGACTACGAAGTTGATTTAAACAACTACGAAATTGTATCTTGAGTGGAATCTCGACTAAACTACGAAGCTTACGACTACGAAGTCGTTTCAAACAACTACGGAGTTGTAACTCGAGCAGATTCTCGACAAGGCTACGAAGCCTACGACTATGAAATCGACCTATAAACAACTACGATGTTATGTTTCTCGAGCAGATTCTCGACAAGGCTACGAAGCCTACGACTATGAAGTCGACCTATAAATAACTACGATGTTATGTTTCTCAAGCAGATTCTCGAGAAAGCTACGAAGCCTACAACTATGAAGTTAATATATTGACAACGGTGAGGTTGCATATTTTGAATCGACTCTCGAAAAAATTCGGCTCAAGGCTAACCACGAACAAGTCTAACTATAGTTACAATACTAGTCATATCGATAAACCAAACGTCGGTGCTCGAATTCGACCAGCTCGCAAGAAGGGTTGGGGAGAAGGCGAGTTGAAAAACTTTCGTTTAATTTTGTCGAAATTTCTTTTCGACTTCAACCTGTGGCAGGTTGAGGTGCTCGAGCTGACCGAAGAAGACAAACCCACCATGACTAAAGCCTCCGGGCTGGGTGGTCCACCACGATTAAGGTCTCCGGGCTGGGTGATTGAAGAAGACAAATCCACCATGACTAAGGCCTCCGGGCTGGGTGGTCCACCATGATTAAGGCCTCCGGGCTGGGTGGTCGAAGAAGACAAACCCACAATGACTAAGGCTTCTGGGATGGGTGGTCCACCACGATTAAGGCCTCCGGGCTGGGTGGTTGAAGAAGACAAATCCACCATGACTAAGGCCTCCGGGCTGGGTGGTCCACCATTATTAAAACCCATCGAGCGAAGATGGTCGTATGTGTCGACCACCCCTCCGAGGGTGAGCATGCATTCAAGGAAAAACACATCGAGCGAAGATGGTCATATGTGTCGACCACCCCTCCGAGGGTGGACAAGCGTTCGAACCTAGGTAATCGATTGATATCATATTTTGTTGTGCTCGATGTATTTCTATTCAAACCTCGGAAGTGGGTCGAGTATATTCATTACTGCTCGAGCATGTTGATGTTGATTCTTGCTTGATTTTGTTGAAATTGTTCTTCAACCTCAGTGGAAGGTCGAGTATATTCATCATTTCTTGAGCAGGTCGATGATTTGAATTTGAACTTGATTTTGTCGAAATTGTATTTCGACCTCGGTGGAAGGTCGAGTATATCTATTATTGCTTGAGCAGGTTGATGATTTGAATTTGAGCTTGATGTTGTCGAAATTGTATTTCGACCTCGGTGGAAGGTCGAGTATATTCATTATTGCTTGAGCAGGTTGATGATTTAAATTTGAGCTTGATTTTGTCGAAATTGCATTTCGACCTCGGTGGAAGGTCGAGTATATTCGTTATTGCTTGAGCAGGTCGATGATTAGAATTTGAGTTTGATTTTGTCGAAATTCCTTTTCGACCTCGATAGAAGGTCGAGTGTATTCATTATTGCTTGAGCAGGTTGATGATTTGAATTTGAACTTGATTTTGTCGAAATTGTTTTTCGACCTCGGTGGAAGGTCGAGTGTATTCATTATTGCTTGAGCAGGTGGGTGATTTGAATTTGAGCTTGATTTTGTCAAAATTGTATTTCGATCTCGGTGGAAGGTCGAGTATATTCATTATTGCTTGAGCAGGTCGATAATTAGAATTTGAGCTTGATTTTGTCGGAATTGTATTTCGACCTCGGTGGAAGGTCGAGGATACTCCTTATTGCTCCAGCAGGTTGATTGCTTTTCACTTGGTGATGTATTATCGAATTTGTTTTTCGACCTCGGTGGTTGGTTGAGTGTATTTATTATTGCTCGAGCAAGTTGACGGTTTTATTTGACTTCATTTTGTCAAATGCGATTTTTCGACGTGAGAGAGGAGTCAGGACTTTCAGTCTTCGAGAGGATACACAACAGGCTTGAATTTCAAAACTTGAACTAGGGGGCGACCGGATGAGGTAACCGGAAAGGTTTATTATTAATTGACAAAGCAGAATGTGTAAGTTCAAATTTTCAAATTCAAGACTTTGGGAAATCGGGCATATGGTTTTTGACTTTAGTCTCGGTATTCGACTTTAACGGTGGATCACTCGACTTTGACCTCAAGGGTCATTCAATTTGCGACCTCCGACCTCAGGGTCATTCGATGTTTGACCTCAACAGCAGATCAGTCAAATTTCGACCTCAACCGTCTCTCGATTCTCGATTTGGGGCTTTCGACCTCAGTCGTCTCTCGATTACTCAGTTTTCAGTTTTCGACCTCAATGGTCTCTCGACTCTTGGTTCTCGGCTTTTGACCTCAACGGTCTCTCGATTCTCAATTCGGGGCTTTCGACCACAACGGTCTCTCGATTCTCGATTCGGGGCTTTCGACCTCAGCGGTCTCTCGATTACTTGGTTCTCGGCTTTCGACCTCAACGGTCTCTCGATTCTCGATTCGGGGCTTTCGACCTCAGCAGTCTCTCGATTACTCGGTTTTCGGTTTTCGACATCAACGGTCTCTAGACTCTCGATTCCCGACTTTCGACCTCAGCGGTCTCTCGATTACTCGATTTTCGGTTTTCGACCTCAACGGTCTCTCGACTCTCGGTTCCTGACTTACTCGATATTTTTAAATCATTTTTTTTAAGATTATTGAAATCAAATGAGGTTGTGTGTATGTTGTAATGGTTCATATAAAATAAATAGTATTTGAATGAAAAATAAAAACTAAAATTACACCAATGCTTAAATTTTAATATATATTTATAACTATGAAAATAGTTACAATTAATTAGATTAAGTGAAAAAATGCATATCAAAACTATGTGACTGGAAAAAGGGAAGATAATATTAATACTTTAAAACTTTCCTAACATATATCAATTGAATTATTATAACTTATTTTATTTAGTAAATAAAAATAATGATACGGAATGGTGCTGAAATTAAATATGTAAACTACCACGTGCAATTATTCTTGTAAAAAAGTCCGTGTTTTTTTCCCCCCGAAGAGAAGATTCATTAGTTAAAAATACGTAATTACAGCCGACTCACTAGCCAGAATAAGAGGAGCTACCCACGGTAGGCTATAAACCACAACGCACACTGCAAGACGAAAAAGAAAAATAAAAATAAAAAACTCCACACAGAAGAATAACACAATCTTCCCAAAGGAGAATAACACGATAAAACATACTCCGCAACTGAAGAAAAAAAAACACACCACCAACAGAAAAAAAAAAAACTAAACAGAAAAACAACAAAAACCACAACAAAAGGCACACAAACAAAAACCTAAGAAAAACAAAAGGCAACAAAAAACAGTCCTCCACAACAACGAATTCAGCCACCGTCCGCCCCAAGGCATCAGACGGCGACCTCAAGCTCACCCGACCGATGCAGAAACCCCACCATAGCACCGCCATGGCCATCGAAATTGGAGAATCGCCGCGACAGGTAGTAGAGAACATCTAGAAAGCTGACTTGCCGGCCCCCCGGTGAAAAACGGTGCGGCGGCAGGCCGACTCATGCGGGAGGGAGGCGACGGCGAGAGATTGGGACGAGTTAAGGTTTTAATTGATTTTGGGGAAAAGTTTCGCAGAAGGAGAAGAGTTTTTTTCAAGCCCACGGTTTAAAAAGTTTCAATCTAATGGGCATATTTTTCAATATTCCCCAAACAAATAATATTTCGAATAAACAAGACTACTAACTTATAAAATGAAACATACAAAAAAAAAAAA